TTAAAGTGCAATCAGGCCATCAATCGTGTAGCAGTTTCGAACACTACTGACCTCCATGGGTTGTTTCTTATTGATTTGACCATAATTCTATTATTATAACAAACCTGAAGTCGTTTACATTCAATAACGTTTTGGGCAAGGGCGGGGACTCAAGGAGGTGCATGTGGGGAAGGAAAACAGAAGCTTGACGTCAATGTGGGATCTTACGCCAACCGAACGGCCACACTGTTTTAATTAAGATATATAAATATATTAAAAACAGAATTAGATACCATGGGTTTGAAGGGTATTAATATAATAATCCATAAATTAATCTATACTACCGAACGTAGCTAACGGCTTATTGAAATAAACAACCCCATCAAACATAAACACTATATCTAGGGACGAGAATAAACCCATGTTGATCTTCCTTCTAGGCTGTGTGTGGGCGGTAGCCGGATCACCCGAACTTCCAAAAGGTCGACAAATTTAAAACACTTGTAAAAGGCTGTGAAGCATGCCGAATATCATGTAAAACGTTCCCTCGATACACAATAACTAAATATCACGGAGTTCAAATAATGGATTTCATATTCATGTACGAAAATACAGTATCATAGCAAAAATCAGATCAATCACCGCATAATATGTACGCTTTCATTTTTGTACAACCCTGGTGTGTTTCGCTCAGTGTTTTAACAACTAAAGGTGTAAAAAAAGAATAAAAGCTAAGCTAACAGAACAAAATGTCATCAAAGCTCGATTTAGACTAAACGATCGAGTGTCTCTTCTCATTACAACTAACTCTACGTGCCGAGTGTAGTGTAATAAATTACCACTTGGCCTTTTGATTGTTATCAAACACAGGTATACAAGGAACGAAGTGTCAGACAAACTTCTGACCTTGGAAATATATATTGTATAGCGTTCTGTTTAATAAGTCAATAACTATTGATAATTATTGTTCTTAATCTACATCAATGATTGTGAACGACTGATTGATGCGCCATGTTCAACTAAGTGCTTCAATGGCACTGTCTGTAAAGGTTAAAGTAATTTAACTATTAGCGCATTGCTATTACATTTAAAAGTGTTAATGAAAACCATATTAGTCCAGGGTAATACAAGGTTTTATCAACGTCACTGGCATAAGAATGAAAACAATTTTCTATTTCAGAAAACTTATGAAACAAATCAACAATCCATCTGAAGTCACGAAAACGATGGCTTTGTCTAGGATAACACTTAGTAACTGATGATAGTTCATAATAACGATTGTGGGCAAAGAAGAAATTTCGGGATTTTTCATGTCTGGCCATCGTTTGTCGGAGTGGCATTTACCAGGCTGACAAAGAAAGTACGAGTAAGTCTACTCGTTTGGATGAGAGTCTTGTTAGATGAATGAAATGGAGTTTAACACCCTACTGTTCTGCTCCTATATACTGGGCTGATGAAGACGGGCATACGCCACGCAGTATGCTATAAGGGAAATTGTGCCCGGGCAGCGGCACTGAGGTTTACTCTTATATCGAATTCCAACTGCCAAGGGATCTGTTACGTGCACGCCAGTGTATACACGGGACCTTGGTTTTCGTCCCACCCGAACGACTAGACAACTGTCCTTGTCAGGCCCTCCGTCCTGCACCACTAACAAGGGGAAACCACGTCGGAAAATCCCGATGAACTTTCGGGAATCGAACGCACGATCCCCAGGCTAGCGAGCCAGCGTCTTACACACTTAGCTTCCGTGGCTCTTGTAAACAAATTATTCCGAAGAAACAGGCACATGACTCCAACTATTGCAATCGTAATACTCAGAGTGAAATTGGGTTTAATGCCCTACTGTTCTGCACAGACCGGGATAATGAAGACGGGCTACGACATACATTGTGCTATGAGGTAAATTTTGCCTGTAGGACACTACGGCCTACTCTTCTATCGAATTTGAACTGTCAAGGGCATGTCAATGTAAACACGTTACTTCAGGGTTTGTTCGTCCTATCCGAACAACCATGCGTTGTCCGTTTCACTAGAGGATTACACTTTAATTTCGAGAGCTTAAGTTCCGCTCGACACAAACTATGTCATCTCGGGACAAACAAATGGTTCAATTTTATTTCAATACATGTAACTGCCTGCACTTAGAGATCTTTAGTAATGGTGGACCTGAAGAAAGCCCACCAGGCTTGGTCAGGCAACTCTACTCCTTATCACCTACAAGCTGGGAAACCACACCAGTGGACTCAATGGCACACCCTACCCTATGGGTTAGCGTGTGCGCGCTGCATCATAAAGTCTGTCATTGAGTCAACTGGCGTGGTTTCGAATCCCCGGTTGTACTTGACAAGGAGTAGGGTCGCCTGTCCAACCTCCTGGGTTTTCACCTGGTCCTCCGATTTCCTCCCACTGCTAAAGACCCCTACGCACAAGCGAATTATTGAAATAAAATTAAACCATATGTTAGTCCCGAAATGACCTAGTTTGTGTCGAGTGGACGTTAAACCCCATTTCTCTCTCCCTCTCCATACCCTATGATCTAAAGCATACGTGTTAGACCATTTGGCCACACTGCCCCAACTCAACACAGACTTTTGTCATCCAACAAGACAAATCAATGTGTAATAAAAAATCTAGTGATATCGACCATTTTTGACCCATAATTAGAGACGTGTGGTTAATTTAATGGCTTCAAATTTAAGATATTGTTTGAGATTATACCACCATATTTTGACAATTGTTATAACAGCTTCTCGTGGTTGTGTAGTCAGAGACAAGTGTAAAACAATACGTGGTAATAAAAGTTATATTTTGAAATTAATGATGTGTTGATCGTTTGTTTGTTTGTAAAGATTCTATCTTGGTTATACCGATAACATATATACCTTTGTCATCTCCATCTCAATAAGCCGGTAATACCGACAACAGACATACCTTTTAACATCTACATCTTAATTAACTGTCGACAGCAGGTTCAAGAACACAACTCCCTCGGTTCCAAAAAGGTGTATTTCTCCAGAAAGAATTGACACGCAAACAGTCGCTGCTCATAGTTCTTAAGAATAGAATCTGCTCTAAATTCTGTAAGCAATTTTTCAAATTTATTTAAATTAACGACCTAGTTTAACACATAACATTCTTGACTAAAGTCTACGGCTGGTCGCCCTGATCCATTCTTTTGATTTGATATTACTTGCAGTGTCTATGTCTTGTCGACAGGTTTATCTTGTCAGTTGTATTGTCCATGCAGTGCGGTCCCCTGGCACTTATAATTAAAGGTTTCAGACAACAAGTGACGATTCGGGGCTTTTGAGGTAATATGAGTCCTATAACCAACCATTCATCATCATGTTCACAATCATCTACGTGAAGTGTCGTTCGCCTTTTGCGTGTACCCGAGAGCCCTGTATATATGCCGTCAATGGAGGTAGTTCTCCAGTCAGATGTGCGCTGGTTAAATAGAGTTACCACCTGACTCACTTTTCATAGCGCAGTGATACCCCTTCACCAATTAATCCACTATGGCTACTGCCCAAATTTATCAATAGTGGCTAATGGCTCATCAAGGAGTCACATCACTAGACACCAACCGTTAGAGACATCCCCGTATTGAGACAGAGAGCCGTCCAGTGATTACTAAAGGAACCCAGAGAATCAACACCCACTGCAGCACTATCATCAGTGTCCAGAGCAGGTTATTGTTAGTAGTGCATTTTTTCACGAATACAATATCACTTTCAGATATACAGATACTGGCATAAAACTTCAGACGAAATAAAACGCCGTGTTTTTTTTTTTAGTCTATCTTTGTAAGAGAATAGACTGTTGTAATGAGACGTGACGACATTCTCCTGTATTATATGATCATCTAGGGTGTTCGCATGCTATTATCTACGTTACGGAGCTAACCACCCTATCAGGCCCCCCAGGTGGAAAGATCAACGATCTACGAGCTCATAGACTAATGACGTCAGCTGTTTATGTGCTTGGCGATGAAGCGAAACCGAGGTTTTGTTTTCATTTCATGAAAAAGTCAGCGGTTAAATGTTTTACCTTTTCTTACATCCTTTGATGTCTTACCGACACCGATATTGGTGGTGCACTGTTACAAGTTTAAAGTATTTTTTCCTCTGTAGATTTTGGCAGTGGTTGTGTTAGAGAACTTACGTTAAATAGCTAGAAATTCATTTGAAATTTGGCTTATGTATCTAATGGGTGTCTATGGGCCAAACAGACAAACACAACTTTGAGAGTAGGGCAAACGTAGGCAGAAGACATTGACTGTTCATTAGCGATATTTTGAGTGGCTTAGAAAAAAAACGAGTACACTATTTAAAGTAGAATAGTTTGAACGGTATTGTTTGTCTACGATATCACCTTAGGTGGAAGTGGACGTAAAACTCTAGAAACGAACGACGAACAAACGGTATTGTACCCTTGTCATTAACATTTCACATATCGTACAACATGGATGGTTGACACTTCCACTTCAAACTGCGTTCCACCGCTCAAATAGTGTTAACATAGTACACGTTTTAAAACAGAATGTCAAGCACGACAGTCTAGCCCCCCCCCCCCCTTTACAGTGTGCTACTCTTTATATCGAATTCCAACCGCCAAGGGTCCCTCGGGTTTTCTTCTCATCCGAACGACTACACATTGTCCCTTGTCAGACTTCCTGTCCTTCATCACAGACAATGGGCGAACCACGTCGAAACATCCGGATTAACTTTTTCGGCCAACATAGGAATCGAACACGGGACCCTCAGGTTAGCGAGCCAACGGGGTCCTTACTGAGCCACCGCGACTGCCGAAACCCACTCTGAAGCGTTGCATTGGTGCATACACCGTTACATCTTAAGATGCAGTCACAAAATTTATCTCAAACAAAAAAGTATTTCCCTAGGACATTATCGTCATTAACTATAATCCGTGCTGAATATGTATTTGAAGACCGAGATCACACAAAACACACCAAATAGCAACAAACAACAATTTATTTTCATAATTTGATACACCGTTTTTATCAGAGTAAACCATACGGTAAAATGTAGTAATACTTAAAACATGTTTTCTTCGCAGAAAATGATCGAATGATAAGCAATGATACCGTATTTAATTCTTGATACATTATAATATTTATTATAGTATAAATAAAAACAAAACAGTTAAATACTGTCTTGATACGCTATTCATTTTAAATTTAAACACAAAAATATAAGACAAATAATTTTAAACCGAATAAAATCCTATAATCAAAATTCCTTAAGCTTAGATTCAGACCTGTGAGATAAATACAAGACTAGGTTTCGTTCCCATCATTTCTGTAATCTCCATTTCTAGACTTGCAGACAGTTCGAATTAAAATAGTCAGGCCTATTATCAGAGGACAGCCAGGTGATCATGGTCCGATTTCCTGCTAGACAAATAAACAGAATTCATGCACGTCCTTGTAGTACGGGTTGATAACGTGTATACTGCGTAAGATACCGTTGGTAGAAATGGGACTGGTATTGTCTAATGGTTACCAAAGATGTTATAAAATCCCCAATTATCTAGTGGTATCACAAATATAAGCCAATTTATATCAAGGGTAGCCAGCCAGTCGAATTTTAAACTCTGTATGTTTAAAAATCAGAAAAAGGAAACAGGTCTTAACGTAGCAATCTAGCGAATTAACAATTAACATTAAGACCTTGATGCCGTAAATGTACATCTTCTACCAACGTCAAAGTTTAGTTGTGTCTGTTTTCACATCAAATAGATGGGTATATACGTATACTAATATAATGAAATCTGAATGAAAACTGAAACCTAGAGTTTAGACACCGTATTCATCTGCAAATATTTTTGGCAATCGATGCCATGTGCATTGATCAAGTCTGAAGCTTTCTGAATCTTAGGTCTAAAATACAAAAAAAGAAGGTCCTTTCCACCTTTTGAGAATCTTTGGATTTATTCATTTAATTTTAAGTAAATCGCCTTGCCAAATATGTTGGTCCCTAAATGTATATGATTAATTTACAAAGAATATATGTAAGAAAAATACGGTATCCGTTAAATAAAAATATGTAAATCATATCAAACTAGATAGTTCAATATTTGTCAAAATAGTATTTTTAAACTGAATGCATGCTTTAATGGGCATGAAACACAATAACAGATGAAGAATACTGGCTTATTATTCATATGATCCGTCCCCGACAAAGTCATGCTCATCAGAAAAAGTTCTAAGTCATTACTTTGTTTTTCTTTAAACATTCTAAGATAAGCTGTAATGAAAATCCGTGACTCGGTTGTGTGTATAATTTTAACATATTTTTTTCGGGAATTTTTTTATTCGTATGTATATTCAATATATATGATACACCTTGTTTTACAAGCGATAGAATTAACAGTGAAAATACACAAATAATCCATGGTATGAACTTGGAAAGGAAGGTATATCTTTAGTGGGTCAGATGTAGCTATGTTCAATTCGATTAATGTAATGGGGGGAAATACTGCCCTATTTTCCGACTTTAAAATATCAATAAAATTATGTAAAGATAAATGCCCCCCACCCCCTCCGTAAAACCGAATTGGATATTTCCGAAAATACGATGCGAATCGAATGCAGTGTATGTCAATCGGAAATAGTTTACCCAGCTATACACCAATAGGAAAATAATCAATCCACTGAGAGTTGAAACCAATTTAGATCTAAGGTCTGGTTATCCGTCTGTTTTCTTGTTGAAGTTTATCTCACTAATTTACCCATTGGTCAATAAGTAACAATAAATATTATGCCCAATTTTGGGATATCGGAATAATGGGATTTCTAAATAAATCCCTTAAGTCCGATAAGCCGAAAGTCATTATTTATTAATCATGGCATCAGAATATATATTTTTATTATAGTATGTGTAGAGGAATAATAGCTACAAACAACTCAAACATTGTTTGAACTGGACAAAATTTTTAAAAAATCCGCCAAAATTTAATCTTGTATTGTTTTCGATAACAAAGGATTGGGGTTTACACCATTAGATGGAAATATGCTGGTTGAAAGTCTGCACATAACTGAACGTAAATGTTTGAAATGTGTACACTGTGAGCAACGTCTTTGTAGGACTGAGCCTAGTATAACCGTAGAAATTGTATATTTTATATCTCGCTGAAAATGCGAAACAAATGCGAAATAATCAAAGTAAAAGCATCATTGTCATTTTTAGCAGCATAACACCTTGTGGTGTATGAAATTCATTTCCATAAATGCATATATATATATTTTAGACGATAAAGGCCTAACACAGTTCGTCTGAAAGTAGATATATATATATACGATTTCAGCGAACTGTCTGAAAGGTCTTGACAATATATAATAATTTAACAAATGAAATACTCTGAAATGAAAATGTAAACATAATACATGTATAACAAATTAAAATATATCTTAAAAACAACTGAAAAACAAGGATTGCACCGTCCCGTATGTAAAAGAATAAAGCATATTATTTTTCAAGTATAGCTATATTCACAAATAGTTTAAAAATAAGTCACCACTTCGATCATAAAGTCCAAGTATAGGCTTAATCCTTTCCTTTATCGGTTTGCCGAAATTTTAAACATTAATTTGGTTTAAATCACACTTTTCATCATTTAAAACGGATTACTCCTTTAAAATATATCTATGAATATTGTCCACATTGTCCAGACAGTATTTTGAGGTCCACAAGTGCCATTTTCTCTGGGAGTGTTTTGGATCGTATCCGCCATCATTAAATGGCGGCACTTTAGATGTTGACTGACACAGTCTGCTTCCGTTACACAGATTTCGTTCCGATTTCCGTTTCCGATCCCTGTTTGTCGTCACCTCTACACCATGCAGACTGTATATTTTGTTCCTGGAAATAGTGCTTAGCGTATGCCCTCCTGGATATTTCTGATATCCGGCCGTCATCCACTGGAAGCCACGTAAGTGTTTGGTTGCCATAGTGATGATAATGTCAAGGTCAATATGTATGACTAACGATACCAAAAAGTTGTAAAATGGCTCGAAATTCATCTCGTTCTATCACTTCATCATCTGAAAGAAGTCAAGATAAAAATAAATTAACATCTACGGAGATTTCTTTTTATGAATGTGAGATGCACTACTGCGCTGTTCCTTCATCATAGATGGCTTTAAAGGTTGGATTTTCAATTATTCTTGTTTTGTTTTTAAAATCGACAATGGAAGTCGGCCATTATTATATTATATAGAATTGATAACATTACAATTTCGTCTCTGATTTTTATACTATTTCCATCAACACGTTGTTCTGCGATCGAAAGTTCTTTGAAATCGTGGGGTAATCGTGGTGATCCTACCAGGTCTTATATATTGAGGCCTGTCGTAGCAACCGTGTTGCTTGTATCGAAACGTATCTGCACGTACCAGTTCGTGGACCCAAAAGGGACAATACTATCGTAACGCATAGCGCGACAGCGAGAACCTAGCATTACATATATTTTAAACATTCAAATAAACATTACATATATTTCAAACTTTCAAATAAAAATAAAAGTCCCAAAGGTCAAAGCCTGAGCTAAACAGTCTGGTAATGAGAAAACGTTACTGGTCACGACTCTTTTGTCGTTGGATTCAAATCTGTTTCTGTTGTGAGGCCCTTTTATACGAGTCTGGTTTTGGGCTATACGTGGTATCTGACCAAGCATATTCAGGTACAACAGCATAGTTTGAGAATCAATGTCTTTGAAGCAACAAGGATCAATTCTAAGCTGCAAAAGTTTCAGTATTAGCTGTAGACTTACCATTCATGTCAAATAATCTAAACATTTTTTCAACAAAGGCTTGATCATCTCTGTATCTGGGACTCTGGCGAGCCATAAATCTGGTAAAACTGACAAAACGGTCGGATCTTTTGGGCACGCTGACTCTTGGTACAGAATCTGAAATATATAAGTGCATGTATAATTATGATGAATGTAGAAACCGACACAACTCGATCTGTTACGTTTGATTCCCGATTTCAGTTCTGGGTGAAAACACGCCAGTATCTATATTTTTGTGGCAATTTAACTCTACGTACTTTATCAAAGAAAATTACACCTAAGATACCATGGCGATAATGATATAGACAGGATCTAGATGAATTTCAACGGAGATATTTTTCAGCGAGTAATTGGTATTCCTATGGGTACCGATTGTACTCCTTTTTTATTCGCGTGAGTCTGACAAGATACCGTAAAAAGTAAAAGAAACTTGCAAAAACTTTCAATTCCACTCACAAGTATATGGTTGATAAGTATATGGACGATCTGTTATTACTTAATGAGTCTAGGATCAGTGATTTTTAAAGATTTTATATCCTCGTCGTTGGAGATTATATATAGCACTGTTCAAATTCCACCAGCATTGTATTTGGATATTTGGATTTGCTTTGAAGTATTGACCTAAGGTGACTAAACCAGAAACTTTGTGTGGAACTGTACGAAAACATGATCATGCTAACTTATTCGTCGTCAGTTTCCCGTTTAAAGTAGTAATATACGTAGTAATATACCCAGATTACTAGCAGCTGGGTTGTGTTTGTGTGTGTATATATATATATATATATATATATATATATATATATGAACTAAAATGGTGATTTTTTTATTTATTTATCTACGGTAAACACGCTCTAGTTAACCATAATTACGGACAACCAAATTACTAAGGATATTTAACACCTAAACTAAAGCTACATTAAAAAGTCGAAATACAGTCATGAAGAAATTGTTGATAAGGATAAAATGTCACGTCAACTTACTATCACTATAATTTGTATTTAATTTAAGTTTGATTTCGCTTTAGGATGGGTAACTATTATTAATGCATGTGCAGTACATAGTCAATCATGGAGATATGTGTCGAATGCTCATAAAATGCAGTCTGTCAATCAGGAATCATAGAGTACACTCTTCTCTATTTCAAAATTCACTTTATTTCATCAAAATGCATTAACTAATAATTTTAGGTATTAGTATTTACCAGATATTAGTATTTACCATGGATCATTTCCGATTGAATGAGCAACATCGATATAAATTAACCACTAGTGGGGCGTGTTACAATTAGCACCGGAAGTAGGTTTATTGTATGACAGTTGTTACTTGTAAAGAGACGGTTGATTGGATAAAATTGACAGCAGCAGGTGTTTTCGTATCATTATTAAAGCGAGAATTTCATATTTTCTAAGAAAGTCAAAACATAATTATTTCTATGTCGTTTGCTCAATATGTTGTCAACTCACTATTATACGATTATAGGTATCATTCTCATACTTAAAAAACATTCACCCCGGAAATAATAACCTCCCTTGTTTTTCTATATGACAATTTTTGACAATTTCTCAACTGGCAATAGCGAATTATAGGATTAATAGGATTATTCTTTAACAAGGTCGGACTGTTTATAGATACCATCTATTAAGGATTTATTTTAATACATTTTAAAAACATAACTTAAAAATATGAAATTATCGCTTTAATGTATCGCGTTATTATATTTCGTTTGATAAGGGTTTTAGTAAGGTGTTTTGGAAATTTTGAAATGGATAGATTATTGAAATACACAATTTGAATTTACGGTCATCTAGTCATTTATATCACACATGTAAAGATAGCCGTTGTGGAATTTTTTTTAAAAATGTATGTCTGTTTACTTGTGATAAAATTTGTAAGGTTCCCCAAAATTCACTGCATGTTATGAATTGTGGTTATAATGCTACGGGTTGGCATGCAATATATGTCCAAATTTTGCAAGATATGGGCAGGGAACATGCTAAGAAGAGAGATTTTTCGGACAATCAGAGCCCATAATGTTACGGTTCAAAACGCGCAAGTATCGAAAGGGATACAAATTGATACAAATTGTGACCCCTGGAGGCACAATAAACTAAAAACGCGATTTTTCGTACAACCAGGGACCATAATCCACGAAGTTACGGTCCGACATGCGCGAACATCGACATGAACCGAGCTATTTTGGGTTATAAACATATGTTTTAAGTTTCATCAAAAATCAGATAACAATTGTGACCTCTAGAATATCTACAAGCTAAAACGGCATTTTTCGTTCAAGCAGGTGGCATACTCCACGTAATAATAACCCACACTATAACTGTAGTCGATACTGCCAGAGTTACCACCCTTGACGATGAAAACTTATAAACGCTTTCCCTTAGTCCTGCATTAATTAGAGGAATTGCACGTAAAAGGTCACTTTTGCACGTGTATCAATAGAAAAATTATTTATGTCAAGTGTCGATGAGACGTTGAATCCATTTCATTCAAAATATTAAATTAAAACTCATTGTGAGTCAAGATTTTGGAAATTAAAGCCAAATTACTTCTAGCCAAACTCAGTGATAACTTTCTATATTTATATCTCTTTTTATTAAGGCTTTTGTCATATCCATTACAATCGCAGTGATTTACATTGAATTATACCTGTCGTCAAATGTTCCAGTAACGCGATACCCATCAATTTATTACGTATATCAAGGATGATACAATATTTCCGTAATCCTGTCTATAAGAAATTGTCTATTGAGTAGTCTCTTAGTGTCACCTCTTAGAAATGTCAAATATGAGCTCAAGCGATCTTTTCTAAGCTTTAGATACATTTTATACTCTAATGTGACGTATTGTCTTAGGTTTATTTTGAAATAAAATGTTATTATGTTCTTATGAATTTAATATTAGCTTTTATTGTCATTGGTGAAAAAAGGTCGTTTTATTTGAGTCCTTGAATGCCAGTGTTGTAATAGAATTTGATATATCAAGAACAGGGGGTAAAATCTGAAGACACCTCCATCCATGTCTGTAGATAAAAGGTTTTAAACAATCCACTCTTTAAATAGTGATACGCGAAGCTTATTAAATATTTAATTTACTGGTTAATCTAAATGTCAGTATACTAACTCACTGATATTTACTTTGGTGGTGATATTTATGATTTTATTAATGGACCGCAGCAGATGTCTGTTCCATTGATTACTATTTGGCTTTAACGAACTTAAAAATAAAGCCGAATGAAACGAAATAAGAAATTAAACGGATAACAAGTAGTCCAGTTTGAATGTTTGTGCGAAGATCGATTTTGATATTACTCTTTGGAATACCACATGTGTATCACAACAATAACCAAAGCTTAAAGGAGCTAAACCTTTAACTCAATATTTTCCATAAAATTAGAAATTAAAACCACAGATTAAAATTCAAGATTGGTCCTTTCCAATCAATATTAATGTTGTTATCCTGCCTTGAAAATATGGAATCATAATATTCATTATATTTTTAAGGCATGATCAACATTTTAAAACCAGTAAGCGATACTTATTTATTTTGGAAAATGCCTATTTTTGTTACTCGAGCTCTAAAACTTTATCGCCTCTATTGCTCTTACAATGATGTTAAAGATGTGCTCGCTCTTTCTGCACTGAATATGCGTGGATGGTCCGGATGCATGTGACATGAATTCTAGTATTTCACATTAAATTAGATCATCTTACATTAAAGATGCATGGGAGATTAGATAAAGAGCTGACTGCTCTCACTATTATCGAAAAAACTAGATAATGTAAAGGAAATTTGCTGAAAATTTCAGTTAAATTGATCCAGTCTGAACCTAGAATTAAGCGATTGAATTTTCGGCCTAAACTTGATCATCATTACTAAAGTCGGTACGATAAAAAAAAACATAGTCTCGATTATCCATTTCATGAATAAATCATGAATGAAAGTTGAGCAACAAATCGGATCCCAATCCAGTAAAAATCGTAGGCTAGCGATGACATCGAAAGTTGATTATGGTCTGGATAAGTTAATGTCTAATTAATAATTTCGGTAACATGTGAAATTGGCAGAATTAGCTCTTGCATAATGTATGTTTAAGAAGACTAAAATCATATCATGGCATTACGGGATGTAAATGTGCATTTATTTTACATATTTAACTCAAATGTTTGAAACCTGAATAAATATTCGGTTTGGTTAGAAAATAGGCTATTGATTTACATTTTTCGCATTTTAAATTACATTTATTTATATAAAACTGTTTGATGTGATAAGACTGGTCAGGAGTTTACATCTTGGGCTAACGTTGTGTCCCATTGTTACATAATGCAACGGAAGAAAAAAAACATTTTATGACATAGGGTTTAACGCCCTACGTTTCTTGTCTAACCAGCCTAATAAACATGCATAACCATAAGGTAAATTTGTTTCCCGAAGAGTGGCGCTACGACCTACTCTTGTTTCGAATTCCTTTTGCTTGGTCAGCGACGATTTTGGATTACTCTTCTTTGAAATCTATGGATCCTTTTAAGTGTGCCCTCGACGTGTATAAGAGATCCCACAGTGATGTTCCGGGTTTCAAAATTCCAGACGAATTTTATAGATCATTGTCGAGTATTAAATCAAGCGTAGTCTAATAATATACTTACAGATAAATCATGACACGTCGTGTAATACCCCGTTAGCGTAACATAAAAATCGTATCCATAAGCTTATTAATTTATCTCAATGATTGCGATTTCTATTAATACCAATTCAATCTACATGTACGTGTATTGTATCTCCGTGCGGAGTTAAATAGTATATTTCCCTGGGGGCGTCTTGGGGCGTTTGGTACAAGATTAGTAACTGACGTCTGTCGATTCGATTAGCACGCCAAAAGTTATTATCATGTACAATCTCGTTTATTTAGTTATGAATTGATATTGTAGTTAATTAAATAGTTCCTTGGGGTTGATGTGTATTGGAGAAGACGCTTATTCAACGACAGTTAATATAATATACCATTTCACATCCTCGTACTATAAATGTAGTATTCCACTGATCTTCTCGTCGTAGGCCCCTTCGCACTACAAAATGAAACAAAACGAAAGGAAATGGAATGGAAC